CCCAACAAATGCGGATCCCGCCCCCAATGAGCCGAAACCCACGAACGCCAGTGAAAATCTTTCCCTTCATCACAACCGATCCCCAGGAACCCCTAGACATTTATGACGAGCGAAGTGACGTCATTTCTCCCTAACTGCCCAGCGCTGTGAGAGTCCCGGGACCCGCGTTGTGCCAGGCGCTGCACAAACGCACAGGGAGGGGAAGGAGATTCCTTCTGCCGGAGACTCCATGGCAGTGACTCGGCTCGTTCAGGGAAGGCGGTTGTGTCTCTGATAAGGAGGGGAATATGCAAATGTCGGTGACCGGTGCCTGTTTAAATTGGTGTTTCTCTCTTCCCTAGGCTGCACCCGGAGAGACACCCCGCAGCCCCCGGTGTCTGTGCAGTTACCAGCCAGCTCTTCTCCCTAGCAACGGGGAAAATGAAATTCTGGGTCTTTTTAATCTTTTAAGCTTTGCCAGGTATTTTGTAACTATGGAGATTTTGTTTTTCCTATTTGATATTAATATTTGTGTCGCGTGTTTGTTCCCAGGTGCCCGGTGCCAGGTGCAGCTGGTGGAGTCCGGAGGGGACGTGAAGAAGCCCGGAGACTCTCTGCGCCTCTCCTGCAAAGCCTCCGGCTTCACCTTCAGCAGCTACTGGATGAGCTGGGTGAGGCAGGCTCCCGGAAAGGGGCCGGAGTGGGTCTCTGACATTAGTGCGGATGGGGGCACCAAGCGCTATGCAGACTCGGTTAAAGGCCGATTCACAGTCTCCAGGGACAATTCCAACAATCTGCTCTATGTGCAAATGACCGGCCTGAGGCCCGAGGACACCGCCCGCTATTACTGTGCGAGCGACACAGCGACACGAAACCTGCTGGTGATCAGACAAAAACCCGGGCTATTGAATCCGCGTTTCCCCGTTCGCCACAAGGGGGCAGCAGATCCACAAAGAGCTCAGCCTGAGAGCGGCGGACCCAGCCCTGCGTTACTGTGCGAGAGACACAAACGGTCCCCTGGGGCAGCTCTGGTTATGCCAGTGCCCGGGAGCGCGCTGGGCCTCCAGTTTCACAAGGGGCTGAGGCTCCTTCTTAGAACGGGGGGCTCCCCATGGAACTTACAGCTTCGAACCCACCGCCCGGACTCTCTCCTCACCCGGCAGCTAGAGGAGGGACTGCCAGGGAGATCCAGTGCACCCGGGTGAGTGCCCAGCCCCGGGGCTGTGAGGGTTTCCGGGGGTGCCACCTCCAGGCCGTGCCCCACAAGTAAAGGGTTTTTCTTTCCTTCTTATGTTTCAGGGGTGTCACTGTGATGGCGCGTTGGGGTTTTCCCGTCTCCTGCACCCCCGTAATGGCACGAACAGACTCCACCATCCAGTAGAATAGAGGGAGTTTATTGCTTCTCCAGGATACAGCACAGCACAGATGTAATCTGGTTACAGGGCCAGGCCTAGGATGCCTCAGCCCCCCTTGAGATGGGGGAGACTGGGCCCCTAAATTCCAGCCCCTTTCCCTAGGCTGTCTCCTCCATGCTCCCAGACAGAAACTAACTCCCTCACTTCCAGCCCTGCCCCCAGCCAGGGCTCCACTCCCCTTCTTCCCATTTTTCCGCTCCGGCAGAGCTAACTGGTCAGACAGGTTTGAAGCCCCCTTGAATAATGACTCATCCCCGGCCCTGCTGGGCAGTGCTGCAGCCAGCAGCCAGTGGAGGTCACTCACAACCCAAGCCTAGCAACCAGCAAGGTACCCACACTACGTCACAGTCACCACAAAGGATTTTCTTTCTCTCTCACCCAGCAAGTCCCTTTTTGAGGAAGCACAGTTGCTGTAGGTTTCATTCCCCTAAATCAGGGAGTCTCCAAACTTTTTAAGCACAAGATCGCTTTTCAAATTTAAATGTAATCCAGGCTCTACTTCAAAGCCAGATACCCTGGCCCCACCTCCTTTCTGCCCTTTCTCCAAAGCCCCATCCTTTCTCACTCCATCCTCCCTCTCCCCCTCCCTGCCATCCTTCCTCCTTTTCACCAGACAGGGGAAGAAGGTTGGGGCACAAGATCTAGTCTTGGGCCAAGGGATTTAGAGTGTGAGATGAGCTCTGAGCTAAGCCTGGGGCAGGGAGTTGGTGTGCAGGAGGGGATTCATGACTGAGACAGGTGTTCAGAGCTGGCTCCAGCTGGACACTGGTTACTACAGGTGGCTCCGGGGAGGTGGTGCAGTGGGGCTAAGGAAGGCTCACCCCTGGCCTAGCCCTGTACCACTCTCAAAAACAACCAGAAAACTCCATCCCAAACTCTCTTGTGCCCCCTTCCATTCTGTGGAGTTAGGATACAGGGTAGGAGAGGACACTCTGACATGAGCACCCCATCCACTTCCTCCCTGGTAAAAAAAAGGGGAAGGAGGCTGTCTGGAGTCGTGTCTCTGCTACAGCAGAGCTCCTGGCACTAAGGTACCACTCCCATCCCCCCTCCCCCTCCAGCACCCAGGCAGT